GCGGATCCGGCTGGTATGCCTCTCGTTTCAACAATGCTTCCCCGACGTCTATTCGCCCCCGATAACGTATGTATTCCTGGCCGCCAACAGTATAATATTGCGGATGTGGATCCGTGGGTGATCCAACGGATCAATACCCTGACGATCATGACAATGACCTTGGAGGTGCTGTCTCGCGCGCTGCCATTTCGCCCTGAGTGGATCTTCCCCAGTCATCTTCCTCGAGCCGCCGTTCCAAGATCTGGCCAATATTGTAGTCACTTGATCACGGGTCAGAATGTCCGTGATCTCATGGCCGCCCTTCCCTGGAATGTTCTCACTGGAGCTAACATCCCCGAGCCCATGTCGTTCGAGATCACCGTCGATGGCTGCTTGGGATTCCTGCTCGAGAGATATTCTGCGGTGGAATTCCAAGATCTGATCACCTATTGGGAGTCCACGCATCGTTTCCCAGTGTCGTCCGCCTTGATCCGCAGCGATCCATATTTGGCCACTTTCGTCGTGGAGCGGAAGAACCGTCGGTCTCATGCGGGCGCCCGGTGGAAGCAAATCCTAAACCTCTTCTTGATCACAATGCGCGAGGGCTGGTGTGATCTAGATCTGCTGTTGGATCCCTATTTTCTTCACTTTCCCAAGCGTACGGATGAGGTGGCTTGGTATCCAGGGATCGAGGCACGCAGTGCCAACATTGCAGATCCGCAGCTGAATCGTCGTGAGCCCGCTGACCCGATCGAGGCTCTCGCTGAGTGCGACGCCGCAGATCCGTGGCGTACCCACTACCGACTCCACCATGCGAGCAATCATGCTCGCCGGATCGCACGTCTCGCCGATAAATTCTTCAACATGGCGGCCCTGAACCCCAACGCGCCACCTCTTGCTCCTCAGCCATGATCCTGACACTTCTCCTTACGTTCTCTTCAGATCGTCTACGTTTAAGCGTAATACATGTCATTTCTTTTTCGGATCTGTGTTCACGGGTATCCTCCATGTTTGTCATTCACCCTTTGATCCATAATCTCTCAAATAATACCATCCTAGATCCACAACCGAAATTCAACCTTGCTCATTCCACGTCCATCTCAGAATCAATCTCACAATTCGATCCTCTGTTAACATATCGTCATATACAAATTCACATAACGTCTGTCCTCCGATCTGTAACCTCCTTGCAGAACCATCGACTTTCCGCCACACTAATGACCAACTCACCAGTGTAGATCCCCCGCTCACGGCTCCTCGTGAGATTGCATCACGCCGAAACGATTGCGATTAGCGCGATCTCGCAAAAACTCATACAGAAGAGCACCGCAGTTGAGATCTGCCTCGTCGATCCAGGGCGGATCTCCATATCCACGCCAATGTACCAGGAATCCTCGGTAGATCCGGCCATATCTCGTCCTCTTGCCAGTTCTCATATCGGAAATTCGCTCCACTTCGTATTCATCCGGATCCCGATCTTGGATCCAGC